CGGCTTCGTCCGAAGCCTGTTGGAACCGTGCTGGTGGATGCGCTATGGGTCCCAGGGCCAGATCCTCAACATGATGTTGCTAGAAGTAGATGACTTCATGATCGGCAGCTGCGACTCGACCTCGAGAGCCTGGGTCCGGCAGTTGCTGGAGGCCAGGTTCAAGTTCGGCAAGTACAGGGGCTGCCACGCGGGTCCCGTGGACTTCGCCGGACGGCGGATCACGCTTGGGGAGCAGAAGATAACCGTTGATCAAGAAAAATACATCCTCGAGGAGATTCGGCCCCTGAGTTTAGCCAGGGGGAGGATGTCACGTAGTGACTCCCCACTCGAGCCTGACGAATTTCGAGCACTCAGGTCCCTGGTATATAAGTTTAACTGGGTCGGCAGGGAATCCAGGCCGGAGGCCGCAGGCATCGCGTCGATCCTGGCCAGTCGTTTGAAGAGCGCGACGATTTACGATGTTTCCTGTGCCAACAAGTTGGTCAAACATCTTCGGACGACGGCCTCTCGAGGCCTGACGATCTGGAGCCTGGACCCGGACCGCATGGCGTTTGTGTCGTTTTCAGACGCCGGGGGAGTAGGAGCGGATATCAAGATGAATGATGACCGGGGGCTCCCGGCCGACCCAACCCAGGGGGCTTGGTTGGTGCTGGCCACTGACAAGTCCGTGCTGTTGAACAGCTCGGTCAAGGCGTCATTCCTGGGCTGGAGGAGTAGTAAGCTACGACGTAAGGTCCCGTCCACCCTGGCCGGGGAGACCCAGGCGTTGTCCGCCGCCGTGGCGGAGGTGGAGTACCTTCAAGTGCTCTACAGGGACGTGATGTTCCAGGACGTGGACGTCCCTGAGTGCAGGAGGGCCTCAGGGCCCTTCACCACTGTGCTTCGTAGGGATTGCAAGTTGGGGTCCCGGGAGAACCAGGTGCACGTCGTAGATGCAAAGTCCATCTACGACACGATGTTGAAGGAGGGGAACGCCAGCGCCAAGGACAGGCGCACTGCACTGGACCTCGCAATCATTTGCGAAGCACTAGAACGAGCGCGCGGAAGCGTGCGATGGATCCCACACGGCAGGATGCCGGTAGATCCACTGACAAAGGATGACATCACCAAGAGCAATGCCGCCCTGGCCGACCTCATGACTCGAGGCCGGCTCATCCTGGTGGACGAGAGCTCCGAGCTGGATCGCCGCCGAGCGGCACCAGAGCTCAAGGATCGCTCCCAGCTGGCGTCTAGAAGACAGTTGGCCCAGAGTCAGAGCATGCTGTCGTGGCAGGAGTTCCTGGACCAGGGGCTCTACCAGGTAGGTGGTGGTGGTGGTGGTGGTCCTACCTCCCCCCTTTCCTCTCCCCCTCGGCCGGACGGTCCTCCCGGCCTACCTTCACCATCATTTCAATAGTCTTCCATCGTTGCTCTCATTCTCACCTTGTTTTCTTGAATACGGCCGTCCTGGGGGACGGAGGCTTCCATGGAGAGCCGCCGCCGTGTACTGCGCTTTTCCGCGAATGGGTGGTCACAGTTCTCCTGACATGGGGAGAGCTGAACCTAGAAGAAAGTTTGACCAGTGTTGCAGTGAGGCAGATTTTCACTGATAGGTTCAGCGTCAGGAGTTTCTGTCCGTGACCAATTTTGGCTCAAGGGTAAAACACCTAGTCTGTCTCCGTCTGCCACAGCTTGCCATGATTTGCGCCCCCCCCTCTTGGACGCCCCCCTCTTGGCCGACCCCGATTTCAGCAACCCGACTATACCGCTGCTCGTCTTGGAGAGCTCCCGCCGCTTTGGCCGGATTCTCCTCGACATGCTGGCCCGAACGCAGCACGGGAGATGTTTGGGACGGAGGGGATGCCGGTGCTGGTGTGCCCTCTGCTCTCGGGTGTTGCCAGAGGCGTCGCTGACCCCGTCGCGTCGTGACACTATCAAGGCGGATTGTTTTATGTTGTCTTCGGTCTCTGTGGGCCCTCGCTGGGCCATGGGACCGTCAACAAGCGATTCAGGATGAAGAATCAGTCCCTGGGATTGGGTCGGGACCAAGTTTCTTGGCATGGCAGTTCCACCCGCCCACACCCATACCGACTTTTCAAACAGCGCTGGGCCACGAAGGCGTGCCCCGACTTGCGTGAAGGCAGGATTCTCCTTGATCCCTTGCCATGCCCCCCTCCCTCTCCCCCTGCATTGAAGTCAACTCGCCAGAGTCATACCATTCTGGGCGAACAATCGGTCCTGGGGGAGGGGTCGCGACAAGCAGCAGCAGGGGAGGGCGAGCGACGGAGGGAAGGTGGAGGGAGGGGAGGGGAGGGGCTGGAGGAGGGCGTGGGGGTTCGTCGTGCCTTCTTCCAGGGTTCATGCAAGGGGCCCTCTGGGGTCCCAGAGCTGATGCAGTGGCCCTGGTGGGGGTGGGATATATTTTCCCGACCTGCAGGAGGGATCGCGAGCCCTGAGGTTCGGGCTTCATCGAGAAAGTCAGAGCACCGGAGGTCTGGGCACGACCAATGACTGCGCCCGCGCCGACCTCCCTGCTGCAGTCGTGGAGTGGTGGTGGTGCAGCAGCGCCGTGGGGCGAACCGAGGCGGGCCGCCCTGAACTGGGGCAGCTGTGTGATCCCTCCCCCATGGGGGAGCCCACTGGTTTCGATCCCTCTGTCGAGAGAATGTCATTAACCGGACCCCCTCGCGTTGTGAACAGATCGTGGCGGACGCTCTTTTGCTGTCTTCTGCCTCTGGGGTCACCCGCCGGGCCCCCGAGCTTGTCGGAAGACTGCTCGGGATGCAACGACGGTCCTGGGGAACTGGTTGAGACCGCACAAAAGGTTGGCGCCAGGTGGGTGGCCTTCTAAGAAGGCGGCCCGCATCTTAGAAGGCAGGGGCCTTTTCAGAAGGGCCTTGGGGCTCCAAAGACGGCGTCTGAGAAGCCAGGAGGGCGTCTCAGAAGGCCCCTGCCTTAGAAGGTCGCCCCCCTCGCACCACCCCCCCCGCGCGCGCCGCCAACTCTTGGGGACGACGCTGAGAACAGAAATCGCAGTGTCGGGGGTCTGGGTGCGGCAGGTTCCCCTCCTGGGGCGAGAGGAACTCGGAACATGCCCTTCGCCCCCTCCCCCCCCCCCCTCAGCTGTGGCGCCCGCAGGCCTGAGGGGGCCGCCGGCGCCCCAGCCGCAGCGACTCCTCTGCAGTCGCCCGCAGGGATGATGCCGACGGCCCAGGCGCTGCTCAGCTCTCGGGGCCCGGGCAAGGAGCAGGGAGAGTGTCGGATGCATTGGGTCGGCGGCGAGCCCGCAGGGGAGGCGAGAAGGGGCGGACCTTCTCGGAAGGTGCGGAAGTGCACCGACCTTTGAGCAGTTTCCCCGGCCTTCCCCGGAGACACCAAAGACATCTGAGTAGCCCCGCCGCCCTCTGAGGAGGCCTTGCCCTTCTCGTTTCCCCCCTCGCTCGCCGCCGATTGGGGTGGGCAGGCGTCTACGAATCGACCCTCGTCAATAGGACGCGTTTGGGGTTGGTTTTGTGGCCTCTGGAAGGCCAACGCCAGCATTCCCGCCGGCTACGCTCCGAACCCGGCATTTACGCGTTTGATGGGTTGGGGATACCGTGCCTTTCATTTTTGTGGAGGCTTGCAATTTCAGGTGAGTTGCCTTGAAGGCAATGTCGGCTACTCGCAAAAGTCGGGGATTCGTAGAGGGGGGGGGGGCCCAGGGTGTGGTTAGGGAATAAACCCAGCTGGATGTTCACATTTGTCTCTTTCAGGGACCGTTTGGAGCGTTTTGTTCTCTAGCCCCACTCTGCACCAACCCCACCTTTACGTCCCGCCGAAAGAGTTGTTTTTCGCTGGAGAGACTTTTGGTGCGGGCACACTGGGGTCCCCAGATGGCTGAATTCGATGCGATAGCAGCTGCTGTTCTACTCGGGTTCGGCTCTCCCGCGCTCCCCAGATGTCGCGCACCACAGGTCACTCTTGACTAGGGTAACCCTTTGCTTGCAGCTGACAGTGTTAGGAGCACTGTTAGGGACGGGAGCTGTTGGATAGCGTCTCCGCCGGTTCTTGCCCACCTCGCCTCGACGCGACACGTTATCCACTCCCAAGACCTTAGGCGTTCACTTCCCGAGCCTTTTCGAGCCTCCCGCCCCGCGGGGCGGAGCGATACGCTACCCGCTCGCACGGCATGGCGTGTCGTCAGGGCCGCCGCGGCGACACGCTAAGCAACAGGTCGCGACCGTGGGAGCTTGCGACGCTCGAGTTTCTCGGTCGTCTTCATCTGTTGTCGGCTCGTTTCCAACCTCGAAATTGTCTCCAGCGGGTGCACCTCGCCGAGGGCGCTCTCGGGATTCCCAGTTTCGTCTCGAGCGGCCGCCAGAGATCCGAGTTATGACCCGAGAACCAGGGGGCAGACAGGGAAGCAATGGGTTCTGGACTCAAGGCGGGATGCATCGACCCCCGATCGCCCATTGATCGCCGACTATCGATCAACGGCTTGTGCCTGCAGCTGGCTTTCGCGCACGCTCCCGGACCCGGATAAAGAAACGAGGTGTTGGTGGCGTCTTACGTTGCCGATCTATCTGCGATGCATCGCCGATTCTAGGCCGCTGTCTCCCCCCGAGTCCCCAGACATCCTCCGTAACGGTTCTCCATCCGTGGCACCATATGGTCGTTCCGACCACCTCCCCAGGGGTTGCTCGTCGTTCAGGAGCCCGTTCTGATTGCCCCTTCTGCCCGATGGCGGGCCCCAGACGCTGCCACCGTGGGCAAAGCTGATGGGCCCGTTGTCAACCACCACCGCCATAAGTTGGAGGGGGAGGGGGTCCTCCTCCTCCTCCTCCTCCTCCTCCTCTTCCTCCTCCTCCTCCTCCTCCTCCTCCTCCTCCTCCTCTTCGTTCTCCTCCTCCTCCTCCTCCTCTTCGTCGTCCTCCTCCTCCTCTTCGTCCTCATCCTCCTCGTCCTACACCTCCTTCCCCCCTCCAACTTATGGTGGTGGTGGTGGTGGTGGACAACAGGCCCACCAAAAGCGCCCGCCTGGCAGAAGTCGGAGGCCCTGCCCGATCGTCGACCGCCAGAGGACAGCGCGGTCGGCACGGGGCCGCAGCCGGTCAAGCTCCCCGTCGGCGGCGGCTACCCGGAAGCGCCCGCGGCCTCGACCGCGGCGCCCGCGTGGCTGGAGCCGCGCGGCGCCTCGGGCCGGCAGGGCGGCGTGCAGGCAGCGCGGTCCTGGAACAGCGAGCCCGCTCGTGCGCCCGCGTCGAAGGTCAGCAGCGTTCCAACGATCCCCATGCCCACCGTGCCAGGGTATCTCGGCCCCGCCTTCCCACCCCCCAGACGGGAGTAGATCGAAGAAGAACAACATCCATAAACACAATTTTTTGGCGCTCCGCGTGGATTTCTTGTATCCGCGCTGGGCCCCGCCGGCGGCGCCTCGGCGCCGTCTTTGGCGCGCTCCGCGCGCCAGGGAGGGGGGTCCAGCGCAGATCCAAGAAATCTGCGCGGACCGCCAAAAGTTTATGTGTATGCTGTTTTTTGTTGCTCTAGTAGAGGCCCTCGAAGCCCGGAGGAAGCAGCCTACATCCCCATCTGGGGGGGTGAATCGGCCAGTGTGGCCCATAGGCCACGCCAGTGGGGACAGGGATCGGTGGGACGATGCTCAGAAGGTCAAGTCGGCCCTGCAGCCACCGCAGGTGACCGGACAACAGGAACCAGCACGAGCAAACGGTGCTGGAAGTCCTCGCGGACTTCTTGCATCGGCATTGGCCCCCCCCCCCCCCCTGGCAGCGCCGAGGACGCCGCCCCTGGTGCTTATGCAGGTTTCTGTCTTCTTGAGCGGCTGGGCCCAGACCTCCAAGGTATCGACAAAATCGAGGCGGAGCTTTTTCATAGTTCTTGGCCTCTGCGTTCTCCATTGTATAGTTTTCGGCCTCGGCTTCTTCTACAAAAACTGATGTCGTTCCTAGTTCTCGGTCTCCGGAGGCCCTCGCCGGACACTGAGGCCGTCAAAATAACGATCCAGGGCGGACAGCAGGTTCCCAGGAAGCGGTCCACCCGACGGCTCATCAGTGTTACTTCTGAACCATGGACGCTGTGCGACATGCTCGTGCACCCTCAAATCTGAAACATGTTATGCATTCACCAGTAACGTTCGTTAGTGGGTGATCTTGTCCACAGGTAGCTTCAGAAATTCCACCGAAAAACGACCACCAACTAACCCCCATCCACCAGACATTCAGCAGCTTCCAGAGGAAAGCCATGACAGGTTTTAAGATCCCGTTCGTTGCCCTGTTGATCATGATTGTTATGGGGCGGTCATGTGCCATTATGCTTCATGCAATGATTTACCGTCCTTCTCCAACTTATCCCTATCGCCCTCTTCAGCATCCGATATGTTTCCTCAGCGTCACTGCCTCCTCCTCGCCTATTCACGCGTCTTCCTCATTCCTGCTCTTCCTCCATTCCCCGTGCTTGCCCCCACCATCATCTTGATTACCTTTGCCCTCCTTTCGTTCTTCTTGAGCGATCGATAAGCTGAAGCGAGGGAAACGGGGGCGACGGTGAGATCCGATTTACGTGGCGACGGCGAGGACGATGACGAGGAATGAGGCGCAGGGGAGAAAGGAGTGGCGTGACGAAAGAGTACGAGCCAAGTTTCCGGCTTGGGCCGCGCGAAGGACTGTTCCCCACAGCGTTTTTGTCACAGCGAGTGTTTTTGGCGTCGATGCCAGCATCCACGGGTAATTAGGACATCCACCGGAAACCTTCGCACATTCACTGGAATTCATGTTTAACAGTGGCTGCGTTTTTGGCTGTTTAAGCTCGCACCGGTAAACGGGCTATCACGAACGCAACGCTAGGGGACCCACGCACCGGTAAACGGGCTTCGATGTGGCTCCGGGGACCCATATCGAAGGAGGTCAAGAGATCGGAGGTTTGGGCAGGTCTGGGCGGGGCTAGGACGTGGATAAATCTGTTCCAGAGTGTTCTTAGAACGTTCTGGCACGCTCTGAGAAGGCCGCGGCGCCCGAGAAGGCCGCCGGATCTCCGTGATTATCGATTAATCCTCACCCGATTTTATCCTCGTTCTGGCTTCGTCTTACTGGGCAGGTGAGTCCGCTGTTTCCTCGGCAGCCAGCCGCGATGCGTGGGCCCGGGCTGGCAGGTGCGGCGGCGGTAGGCGCTGTGGCCGAGTGCGCGAGGGAGGAGCAGGAGCAGATGTGGCTGGGCCCGACCAAACACCGCCACGGCCGCGCCGAGCATGGCCTCCCAAGTCGCGGCTGGCTGGAGAGGTCGGCCACGCGCAGAGGGAAGTAGGGGGAGGGGGGAAGTGTTTAGAAACACCCCTGCTTCTTTGTAAGCACGGGCCTTACCCATAAATGGGAGGCCGGCGCCTTCTAAGAAGCAGCCGCCTTCTAAGAAGCATTCCCCCCCCATACCCCCTCTGCGCGCCGCCAAAGAGGGTCATCTCGAGGAGCAAGACAGGACAGAAACATACAACTTTCGGAGGTCTGCGCGGACTTTTTCGGATCGGCGCTGCAGAGCCCCCTGCCGGCGCCGCCCCGGGGTCCAGCGCCCATCCGAGAAATCCGCGCGGACCTCCGACGTTTTTGCTTTGTTCGGGGAAACGTAAGACTTGAGTAAGCCGGAACTCGGGTTTGCCGATGTTTTTTGACGAGCGCGTCCTGGATTTTGACGGTCCAGTTTTCGTTGGATGTTTGCAGCGGGAGCTTGCTTCAAATTTCAGATTGCGTCTCGACATTTTTATGATGGCCCCGTCAGGACAACCCGAGTCCCCCTCACCCGAGCCTTGCGTCTCCTCGATTTGTAACTGTCTGCTCCCCGATCATCGGCGGTCCAGCGGGAGTGAGCCTGCAGTCGCCCGCCGCGGTGCTATCGAAGGCCCGGGCATCATTGCTCGGCACGGCCAGGCCTGTCGACGCGGAGCCGCAGACGTCCGCCAGCGGGAGCTGCCAGTTCCCGTCCCCGGGTTCGGCCTCGACGCCGGCATGGGAGAGCAACGCGGAGGACTGTCGCGAGGACGTGGCCGAAGGCAGAAGCCCTGGCAGCAGCCGCCCCGCGCTTGCGGAGGAGGATCGGGGCGGAACGAAAGCCCAGACATCTCTTCGGATAGGATTTGTTCCGTTCGCGGCCCCAGAGGCCCCGACTTCCCCAGGGGCCTAGCTGGAGACCGAGTCAAAAACGCCAGGATGGAACAAGTCAGGTCGTCGGGCCCAGGCCTTCGATGCCTTAGACGCGAGCGCAACCATCCTTGCGATAGGTTAGCCGCGGAATAGGGTTCGGACCCACCATGACGTCGCGCGTTTTTTTTTTTGATTATATATATATATATAAACAGTGATTCGATACAAAGCACCACTCATGAGCTATACAAATCGGAGGTCTTGATGGTGATGAGAAGATCTCAAACACTTGTGCTCAACACGGGCCTGCCGGAGCTCTGGATCCCACTTCCCAGGGGCCGGTTGTCCGTCCCGGCTATAGACTTGGGACGGCATCGCGAGGCCCGGCGAGGGGGTTCCGAGACAGCAAGCGTCAAAATCCGCTCGTCTTCTTTTGTTCACGACGCGCGGGGGTCTAAGTTTAAATCGGGCGTGTCTCTCTCTACAGGAGGAATATTCAAAACTAGTCAACAAACAGTATGGGGACGTTTTTGAGGGCATTTGTTTGCCATTTTGGTTTTTAATGTCGTCCAAAATCCCCCTGTCGGGGGGACAGGCCCGACCTAAATCTAAGTCTAGGTTGAACTACCATTCGTCGTGTTTTTGTTCACTTCGCCTGGGGGTCTAGGTTGGAGTTCCATGTGGGGCCCGCTCTAGAACAAGAGCATGCCGTAGACGGATCTGCCCTTTCCTCGGGCTTTGCACCGCGCCGAACGCAGCGGCCACGTTGTCCATAGACGACGCACCCGCGCCGAAAACGTCTGTGGACGTGACGGCACCCGCTGTGTCCATGGACGCGTTTGGCCAGGACGGCAAAGCGGCATTCGTCGTTCTCCTCCTCCTCCTCCTCCTCCTCCTCCTCCTCCTGACGGTCCCAGAGGATTTGGCAGGTCTCCGAAGGCAGAGTGGGAGGCCTGAGGTGCAGCTGCTGCTGGAGAGATGCCTGTGGCCGACACCACGGGGCATCCGCCGCCCGCCAGTGTGCAGCGACGTGTGCTGGAAGGGCGACCACGAAGGAGGCACCCTTCCTGAAGGCGAGCTGTTTCTCGACGGCTCGGCTTTCGAGGCGGACTACGAGGAGGTGGCGGCAGTTGGCTGGAGTGTGGTGGCGCTGCAGGCGCACAGCGACGGCTACAGGGCCTCCATCGCTGGCCAGATGGAGGGCCACTGCGTGGACATCAACGGCGGGGAGCTCACGGCGGTGATCATGGCGCTCAGGTTTGGCCAAGGTGTCACGGTGCTGGTGGTCGACTCCAAGTACGTGTACGACGGCTTCTACAAGGTCGGCAGGGTAGGCACCACGGGCTACGCGTACACGTGGGCGCACCTGTGGCGGCGAGCCTGGGACCTGCTGGATGAGCGAGGAGGTCTCGGGCATGAGGTTAGCCTCAGGTGGATGCCCAGCCACAGTACGCGGCGGCAGGTGGCGGCAGGCGAGGTGCTGTACAGAGATTGGTACGGCAACCGACTGGCTGACAGGGCGGCAAAGGCTGCGGCGGCCAGCGGGCGCCTCCCCGCGCGGGACAGAGAGCGCCTGGAGAGGAGCCGAGATGTGGTCGAACGAGCAGCCATGTGGTGCGCGGCTGTCGGCAGCTGGGTCGACGGCAGCGACACCACGCACGGCAAGACGAAGGTGCAGCGAGCCCTGCCAGTGCGCAGGGAGCCAGCGGCGAGGATGGCCTGCGTCTGGCGGAGGCTGCCTGGCCAGCGTCCCTGGTGCGAGGTTTGCAGATGGTCAGGCAGATCAGGTGAGTGCCCTGGCAGCATCGTCGCCGAGGCGATCAGGGCCAACAACAGGCTGAAGGCGCAGCAGAGGGCGTCGCATGACCTGGTGCTCCTTGCGCCTGTGGATTGGAGGTTGCTGGTGCGCAGGATGCCGCTGGTCGCTTGCAGGGCGTGCGGCTTCACAGGTGCGGCCAGAGCGAGCTCCTTCCACCTAGAGTGCAGGAGTGTCCCGTCGGCTGCAGGTGCCGCCGCAGTCGCGAGGCTGAGGAAGGGTCTGGCTCCGAAGATGGTCAGCGAGGTGGCAGTCAACATCGCGGTGCTGGCGGACGACGTGCAGGAGGGGAGAGGCCAGTCGCCGCGGGACATCGCGGAGGAGGAGGACGGCCACTCCTCGAGGCCGCCAGGAGGAGCTCCAGGTGGTGGGGCAGGGGAGGATGCGGGCTCACTGCGTCCCCCGACCCCTGAGGGCTCCAGAGCGGCGGCTGGCCTGGGAGGACGAGCTGGCGGCAGGTGTGCAGCCGCGGCGCACCAGGCCGAGGCAGGAGACGAAGCAGGGCCTGCGGGCGGCGGCGGAGGGCCACGCCCGCGGCGCCGCGCGCGTGTGCGCAGCAGATCGCTGAGGCAAGCCGCGCTGACGCCGCCCTCGAGGTCGCCGATGCGGGCGGCCAAGGTGGCCAAGCTGCAGCAGGAGGAGAGCCAGCGGACTGAGGCGGGCCCTGCAGAGGGAGGAGACGAGGTGGCCACAGGTGGCAGCGGCGGCGGACCGCCCCCGCCGATGATGGCGGACGACGCGCAGGAGGTGAGAGGCCAGTCGCCGCAGGACGTCGCGGGGGAGGAGGACGGCCACGCCTTGCGCAAGCCAGAAGGAGCTCCAGGTGGCAGGGAAGACGCGAGCCTCCTGCGGCCCCTGACCCCCGGGGGCTACCGCGGTGCGGCTGGCACGAGAGGGCGAGCTGGTGGAGGGCGTGCAGCCGCGGCGCGCCAGGATGCCGCAAGAGGCGAGGCAGGGCCTGCGGGCGGCGGCGGCGGGCCAGGCCCGCGGCGCCGCGCGGGTGTGTGCAGCAGCTCGCCGAGGCAGGCCGCTCCGACGCCGCCCTCGCTGGCGCCGAAGACGGCGGCCGAGGTGGCCAGGCAGCAGGAGGGCAGCCAGCGGCCTGAGACGGGCCCTGCCGAGAGAGGAGACGAGGCGGCTGCAGGTGGCAGCGGCGGCGGACCGCCCCAGCCACGCGAGGCCAGCGGAGTCCAGGTGCTGGCGGACGACGTGGAGGACCACAGCGCAGCGGCTGGCCCGAGCGGGCGAGCTGGCGGCAGGCGTGCAGCCGCGGTGCGCCATGCCGCGGCACGAGGAGAGGCAGGGGCTGCGAGCGGCGGCGGAGGGCCAGGACTGCGGCGCCGTGCGCAAGTGCGCAGCAGCTCACCGAGGCTGGCCGAGCTGACGCCGCCCTCGCAGTCGCCGAGGCGTGTGGCCAAGGTGGCCAAGCAGCAGGACGAGTGCCAGCGGCCTGTGGCGGGCCCTGCACAGAGAGGAGACGAGGTGGCTGCAGGTGGCAGTGACGGCGGACCGTCCCCGCCGCGCGAGGCCACAGAGGTCAGGCCGCAGGAGGAGGCCCAGCCGCCCGCAGGGGAACCTGCTGCTCGATGCGAAGCAGGGGCTGCAGGCGGCGACTACGTGGCCATGGAGGGCGGGTTGCAGGAGGAGAGGCTGCCGCCCGCAGGTGACTCTGCTGCTCGATGCGAAGCAGGGGCTGCGGGCGGCGGATGCGGCTGGCCGAGGCCACGGCGCGGCGCGCGGGAGCGCAGCAGCTCGCCAAGCTTCGCAGCCAAGGTGGCGAGGCTGCTGCGGGCCGCGCGGGGTGAGGCCTGGCCGACAGCCTCGGGCGCGTAGCTGCGCCGAGGCGCGGGCGCGCGTGGGGCGCGCGCCTCGCAGGGGTGGCCGTGGCTCGACGCGGTCCGCCTCACCCCGCGGGCATCATCCTCCTCCTCCTCCTCCTCCTCCTCCTCCTCCTCCTCCTCCTCCTCCTCCCTCCTCAGGTAGGCTCGGCCTTCCAAGGTCTGGGGCCCGGGGGAGATTTGCCGCTGTCAGACGGTCAGCCAGTCGTCTCGGCCTCGCCGCTGGGCGCATGCCTCGGGGCGCGGCCGCTCCCCACAGGCCGCACACATTCGAGCCGGCTCGTGCTCCCCGCCCGCCGCGGGCCCTCTCCGAGGCGGGGATCGGCTCACATGATCGCCGCAGGGCGGGCCGATCTTCGGGTCCTCCGCGGGCGGCTAACAGGAACCCAGATGTCCGGCGGTCTGATCTGTCCAATCCTGGCACTCAATTTGGGCGTCTGGGGCTCGTTCCAGGAACTCGGGAGAATGAACCATTGACCGAGGAAAAAAACAAATGTTGGGAGCAGGGGTCGAAACCTTTGGGGCCGCGGGGTGAAAGCAGACTATCGAAGGATGTGGAGATATACAGTCGGGCCCCAGGCCCCTCCCCCGCCCCCGGATGGGATGGGCCCCAGATCCCACAGGCCCCCCCCCCCTCCAGGTGTGATGGGGGGGGCGCCGCCGACGACGACGACGACGTCAACGTCGACGCCGTCGCCGACGCCGATTCCGACGCCGACGCCGACGCCGACGCCGACGCCGACAACGACGCTGCCGCCGCAGACGCCGACGCCGACGCGGATGCCGACGCCGCCGCCGACGGATGACGACGACGACGACGACGACGACGACACCGACGACGACACCGACGACGACGACAACGACGACGACGAACCACCCCACATCCACAGGGGGAGGGAGGGTCGGTCGTGGGTGGGTCGCGGGTTGGGTAGCGGGTAGGTCGCGGGTTGGGTCGCGGGTGGGTCGCGGGGTGGGTCGCGGGTTGGGGCGCGGGGTGGGTCGCGGGGTGGGTCGCGGTGTGGGTCGCGGGTGGGTCGCGGGGTGGGACGACGACAACAAACAACAACAGCAAAGCAACAAGCATAATCTTCACCACGGTTTCTCACTTCAACCAGTCGCCCAGGGACATTGAATGACCGTTCGGCCCCCTCACTCATGATGTATGTACCGTAGCACCCCGCATATGCGGATACTATTGAGGGGGCGGCGGGGACGTCGGCAGTTTGCGAGTCTCTGGAGAATCCCGCCGCAGGAGCCAAAGTTTCACAAATTATACAACGAGCCCGCCGCAGGCGC